CTTGTTGTCATGATTTTGGATATCACCTTATACCGGAAGTTGCAACAACTAATAGGCCTGAATTGGGATACTCTCTCCGGATTCAAGATCTTCGGTGTTAGCACCAAGTGGGTATCGTTCCATCCTTCAGGCATTGAGCTTTGTGAGAAGAAAGTTTTAATTTCCCCACAAAGTTGCTCTCCAATACTATCCCAGTAGGTCCTGTAAAAAAGACCGGGAAAACCATCCGGCCCAGGGGACTTACCAGATCCCAACTCAAAGACGGCCCTTCTAATCTCCTCATCCTCAATAGGTTGGCAAAGAGCCTGATTCATCTCATCCTTCACCACACTTGGAATGTCTTGATAGGATCTCATGTCCACACTTTCTTCTCTTTTTTTGAACAAATCCATGTAGAAGGAGACACAATGATGTTGCAAATCATGTTGGTTAGTAAGCCAGTTATTCCCTCCATCTAACAACTTCATGACCTTGTTTCGATGACTTCTTTGGATAGTCGATGTGTGAAAGAATCTCGAATTCATATCCCCTCCTTTGAGCCATTGGATTCCGGATCGTTGTCTCCAGAACACCTCTTCTTCCTTCCACAGAATGTTAAGCTCTGTATGTAGATTTCTCTCTTCTTTGGCAACAATCGGATCTCTAGAAAAATCAAGGATTTCTTTCAACCTATTCTGGATAGCTTTGATGCGAAGAGCTGCATTCCTGACATTTGTTTTACTCCATTCTAGTAGCTCTCTTCGGCATAAATTCAGACAGGATTGGTGGCTGCCCCCTCCCTGCCAGATGCGCCTAATGATGTCTCCACTGTTTTCATAGCTAGGCCATCTGTGATCAAAACGGAATATAGCTCTTCTTCTTCTTTGATCCCCAAATAACTCAATTCTCATAGGGCAATGGTCTGACCCCACCATAGGTTCATTGTGAATGATGGCTTGATGAAAAGCCTCCCTCCACTCAATTGAGCATAAACCCCTGTCCAATCTTCCCAGAATCTTCCTCTCCCCTTGTTGCATATTAGACCAAGTGAATCTTGGTCACTTGAACTCCAAATCAATTAGTTCGTTGTTAAAAACAAACTCCTTGAATGGTTCCATAGCAAATCTTCTTGGGGGATTACCACCATTTTTTTCCGAAGCATCCAACACCGCATTATAATCCTCCAACAACAGCCAAGGTCTATCATTAGGGGGTCTACGATTACTAATAATCCCCCAAAAATCCCTTCTCTCACTAGGGTCATTGGGAGCATGAATAAAAGTAAGAAAAAACCCCGTTCCTAGCTTGACGAAAACACGAACAAAAAAATCCGAGTGATCGATAACATTGATCACGAGGTCTTTAACCCACCAAAGAGCTAAACCCCCCTACTTCCTACTGGATTTTGGTACCATTTGTTGTAAAATTTGGCCCTCCTCCTTTCTACTTCTAATACATTTTCTTGTTGTTTTGTTTCCATAAGAAAAGAAATACTTGGCCTAAAAGAAAGATGCATATCTCTAAGATACTTCACTGTCGTGTCGTTGCCAAGGCCACGACAGTTCCAACATAAGATTGTCATGGCTGCTTGGGTGGCTTACGGAGCGCCACCTTCTCCTTTCCAGATTCCTTCCCATCACCGTTTTCATCCTCTTTCGTATCTTCATCCCCCATATCAAAATCACCAACCATAGAGATTGATGTTGGCTTTCTCTTTTTGCTGATTTTCAACTTCTTTCTGGGCTCTTGAGCCTTCAGACCCCAAGGACTCAAAAACTGGGCCTCCATTTGCTTATTATCCCACAACACAAATGGTTGTTGAGCTTGGGCTGAAAAATAACTCCCCTGGGCCATCTGCAAGTAATTAGGACTAGGAAAGAAGTTAGGTTGGCCCATTGTGAATAAAGGATTGAAGTTTTGGGCTCCACTAGCGTGGCCCAACCCACTCCCATTTTGCTCTAGGGCACCAGAACCCTGACCCATCTCAAGAATCCGCCTCCCTTGTCTCTGACCTCCCTCTTCTTCTTCTTCTTGGAACAACGATCTAGGTTTGTATGGTGAGAAATCGTCGGTCTGCTTCAGCGTTAGAGGAGGGCCGACTTTTCCAGTAACTTTTCTGCCTTCGAAGCCAGGGGGAGGGCCCGAGTTTCCACCATCTGACCCTGACAAATTAGCCGTTGCGGGAGGCAAAACCCTACGGGTAATGCCCTGCTAAGTGCTACCTCTCTCCTTCCTTTGGAAACCACGCCCAGCGGAGAGGCGACCGTCGAGGTAGGAATCCGCCGTTCTTCTTCCATCAACTTGAGTGAAGTTATCCCCTGTCTTACTCTCTGCTGTTCCTGGTGTTTTTCTTCTTTGGTTCACAGCAAACGGGGAGATCGGGGAGTGAGGACCGGCTCTGATCCAATCTCAATATCGCCCCTCCACATAGTCTCATGGATGTTTGCAGATTAGCTGGGAATGCCCGATTCTGCCACAGCCATAGCATACATTCGAGGGGAGTCTCTCGTATTTAAACTCCACCCAGTGTTCTCTACCCTCTTCGATTTCGATGTAAAAATCCAGGGGGAAGAGGTTCTGAGATATCTACCTCCACAAGAACTCTAATGAAGTTCATGTAGATCCCTTCCGCAACTCTAGCTTCATCTCCCCTGACCAGCTCCTTGAAGATTTCGCTAAGGGGAAGGGCCACATTCTCCTCCGACCGCAAATCACTTGGGAAATCATGAATCTGAACCCATATACGCGATCTATTGAAGTTCAGAGCTTCGATTCTGACTTTCCCTTGTTCAGTCCATTCTTTGAGGATGAGTAAAGCATCATCGATCTTCCATGGTCTTGATTCCCAGATCTTCTCCTTGTCTTCTTTCGAGCAGAAAGTGATGACGAATGTGTTGCGGTCAATCTCGGCTACCGTTGGCTTCCTCACCTCTCTCCAGTTTCTTGCTAGGAGCATATCCATTCCTCCAGCATTGAACTTCTTATCAGAGATAAGTTTTCCCACAAGAATTTCACTTTGTTTTCTTTCTGCCGAACCTCTTTTTGGTTTGAATCGGAGGATTGAATCAGACACACTGAGAGATTCTGTTTTTTTCAAAAGGTCAGAGATACCATTGCCAGCCATTTTTTGGTGCTGGGGTTTTTAAGGGGATTTTGGGGAGATATCAGGGGAGCGGGAGTAAATAAGTGTTCTCTGGGTTTTTGTTTGGCTGCACAGTTGGTGTGGGAATGGTGGTTCTTTAATCTTCTCATAGATATAGTCTTCAATCTCTGTTGTTGGTGCTCTGTGTTTATTACATTTCCAGAGGTAGTTGAGGTTTGCCACATAAATGTGAACTCCCTTCTTCTTTTCCATGACTAGGTAACAGAGTAGAAGTCCTATCCCCACCAGCATGATCTGGGCGAAATAAATATGCAGACGGGACAATACACAGAAAATCCATCTTTCTTTCCAGCAGAAGAAGATCGTATTAAAAGGAGGAGTGGGGAATTTGGTATGCATCCCATCTGGACTTGAATGCTCTTGGAGAAGAGGAAGGAAGGTCAGAGATTTTGGGGCTCCATAGTCCTTTCCTTTCTTCTTCCCAGGATCCTTACAAGAAGGAGATGTGCTAACTTTGCTTTCATGGTTTAGATATGCAGTAGGTGAGGGATCAGATTTCGAATTCAGTTTGCAATTAGTTCCATAAAGGAAGTGTCTAGCCTCACCAGGAGAGTTCAGAGAAAAAGTAGAGAGGGAAAAAGTAGAGAGAGACATTTGATTATCTCCTTAATGAAAAGCAATTGTGGCCGGCCAATTCGAAGAAATTTCCCCCAAAAACTTGAATACACCAAAATTTCCCTCTTCTTTTAAAAACATCAAATTACCAAATACATTACTTTACTTTATTTATATTTAATTGATAACTTTATTGAATAGTTAAATTAACCAAAATTTTAATTTATATATTATATCAATATTGTCATGATCTCAAGTGACATTCATGTTTCAATTTTGGTAATTTTCTTAAAATACGTAATATCAAGTGAGTTTCATATTTTTTAAATTTCTTATACGAAATGAAAAAATAATTTTACTTGAGTTTAGAATGAAAAACTTTATTTTGAAAAACTATGTATTGTATGTTTTTATAATTATTCAAGTGGATTAGATGAAATTCAGGTTGAGTCGGTTGGGTTACGGGTTAGTCGGGTTCAGGTCAATCGGGTTCGGATTAATCGGGTTGCGGGTCAGTCGGGTTGCGGATCAATCGGGTTCGGGTTAATCGGGTAGCAGGTCAGTCGGGTTGCGGGTTAGTGGGGTTGCGGGTCAATCGGGTTGCGGGTCGGGCGGGTTACGGGTTGTTTACTTTTAGTCAATTCGGATTGCGGTCGGATTGCGGGTCGGGTTGATCGGACGGGTTAATCGGGTCGGGCTATGTTTTGACACCTATACTTAAAATTAATAGAATAGCAATGAGAATGTTTCAATAAAACTAGAAAAATTAGGAAAAATAATTAATGAATATCAAGAAAATTTAATCAATATATTCGAAGACAATAGTAAAGATCAATATTAGATTATCAATGTAATGAAAAACATAAGGAAGTATATTCATATTTAGAATTGGCCAATGATACAATTACTAATATTATAGTGGACATAAAACAAAGAGATATAGCAATAGGTAAATCAACTTCAAATTCAAAGGAAATAATATTACCAGAAGAAGATCTTAAGGAATCATAATAAAACTTCAAGAAATCATAATTAGATTAGATAATAAATGAAACTTTCCAAGCCAAGGATCGCTTAAAGAGATTCACGCCAAAACTATGTTATTCACACAAAGACACAACCATTCACCCCAAAACCATCTTAATCATGCGAACACATTACCATTCACGACAAATTATCTTATTCATGTAAGATTTCAACCATTTTTTATTATCTAATATGAGTAACATCATTGTTGTTAGGGCTAATTATACTAGAAAGCCCAAACTATAAAAATAGTGTCATTTGTGTTCTAAACTATTCAATATGATAAATCTTACACATACTATTTTTTCATTAATGTTAACTGACGTCGGACCGTTAAAATTTAACAGAAATCTAGTCAGCATTGACATGACTTTTGACGTGGAATTTTATATCCAATTTTGATTTATTTTTCCATGTTACTTAACAAAATAAAATAAAATAATAAAAACAAAAAATCTATAATTCCCCAACGAACCGAGACCCTATCGCCACATCCACCGACAATTATTTATGGAGAAGCTTCAACCCCCTCTACGATGTTGTCTTCTCTGCGACGGGCGACCCTTCCTGGATTGGATCCCTTCTGGCGACAGGTGTTGCGCTAGTGGTGGCCTGGAAACGAGGAGCCTGCGCTGCCGACGTCGGTTGAATTTGGATGGTGGAGTGGCGACGAGGACTACGAGGAGTCACTCCCATGCCCTTTTCGTTGCTGCTTCAGCGTTCGCCCTCAATCCTCCACCGCATTCCTATTGTCAATCCGCCGTCTTCTCGCGGCATAGAGAACAAACAAAGGAGAAGATGAATTAGATAGAAGATTGGAGCACGAGGGAGTGCCTGAAATCCCGAGCACGATAAGAATCTATGGCGCGATGGAGGATGGAGGCAGGGGAGCATCTGATTTCCAGAGAGAAGAGAAGTGGATTTTAGGATGGGTTTGGGATTCAATCAGGGTATTGGAATGGTTCTGGGTTTGGGATTCGATCGATCAGGGTATGAGAATGGTTCTGGGTTTGTGATTCAATCTTGATCTTCGGCTTCCCGTAATTGGGTCAGGGATGGTGAAGATAGAAGAACACATGACGATGACAGACAAGGTGAATCGCCGACCGTAGGGGGCGGAGATGAAGGGGTGACAAATTGGGTTTTTTTGGCGGCTAGGGGTGACAGAGCTGAGCGAGATCGAAGAAAGGGAAGATGAATCCGTCGTCGCTTGCTGTCCCAACCACTGTTGGGTTAAGGAGAAGATGGAATGAGGCATAGATTGGAGAAGTTTACATTTTTAAAATTTTGAATTAAAAATATGAGTTGTCAATTACGTGGTTGCCACATCAACAAAAGCCAACGTTAAGTTGACCATCATCTAGTCAACTGTTATATATAACAGTCAACAAAATCGTCATGCCATAAATGACACAATTATAATAGATTGGGACATTTTTGGAATATTGAATAGTTCGGAACACAAATGACACTTTCTTTATAGTTCGGCTTCCTAGTGAAATTAATCTTTTTTAAATCAATTCAATAACGTAATAAATTTTCAATATCAGTATTATCCATTTCAAATCAATTCCATAATGTATAATACTATTCGGTTCACGCAAACACATACCCAGCCGCGCCAACACTACATGATTCACACAAATTCATATTCACTCATGCCAATACCATATGATTCACGCACATTCATCTCTAGGCACGCTAAAACAATATAATTCACGGCAAATCTATCTAGTTTACGCAAACACATACTTAGTCACACCAACACTATCTGATTCACTCAAATTCATATTTACTCACGCCAATACCATATAATTCATGCACATTCATCGCCAGACATGCCAAAACTGTGTTTTTCACACAAACACATACCTAGTCATGCCAACACTATATGATCCACACAAACTCATATTCACCAACGCCATTATCATATGAAACACTCACATTCATCTCCAAATACGCCACGCCAAAATTCATATTCACTCCCGCTATGACTTTCAACAAAGACTCATTCACATTGTCTCTCACAAACATTTATGGTGATTGGGGTTGGATGCTCTTATGGTGGCGATTGTGAAACATGCAATACAACGATGAATCGAGGGGATAAGCGGTCAGCGGCGATTTGGGCTGACGATCTTGGCAGTGATTGGGGTCAACAATAAGGCTCCGATGGCAGATATTTTTTTGGAGCCGGTGATGATGGATGCTAGTTGGTCGTGATATGTGAGATGGCGTCGATGTTAGCGTTGAATACGATCGTGACCGGCAGAGTGATATGAGGAAGCGTTTGTGGCTGGAAAGTTTAAGGAAGATAAGAAGGCAGAAGGGGAAATTGGAAATGGGGGATTTTTGTGGATGGTCTGTCGAAGAGGCAAGTGGGGGTAAAGGGAATGTGGGGTCTTTTCTTTTAATTGGTTTATTCCCTTTCAATATATCACCAATTCAAATTCACATCAATTCAATTTATCTTCTCACCCAACTCGTCCGACTCATGTAATAAAATAATATATTTTCATTATGTGTTTTTCCTCCTCTAGAGACAAGGAAACTTTTCCATAACAATTTTAGAATGACATAACAATCCCCATAACAATTTTATCTTATATGGTTTGTATATTTCACTATTTAGACAAATGACAAATTTGTCGGATTCAAGTTCAGATTCAGACTTTGAGGATGATCAGACTACATTAATGGTCATATTGCTAGCACTAATGGAGGAGAAGAGGACGTCATCTAAGCGTTTATGTAGAACATCAAAGTTACGTGTACATGATTGGCTGCGTCGTGTGTGAGATCCTTGATGGCAACCCTACCTGAATATACGAGCAACTAAGGATGAATAATATAACTTTTGCACTTTTATGCAGGGAATTAAAACAATTTGGAGGCTTGGAGGGGAAAAAAAATGTGACCAATGGAGAGTAAGTAACCATCTTCTTGAAGCTGTTTGGACACTCGTGGACTACTCGAGATAGTGCAGAAAGATTTCAATACTCTGCTGCTACTATATATAAGTATTTTGGCATAGTTTTGAAAGTAGTCAACAAAATTGTTGGAAGGATTATCAAACTTCGGGATTTTGGAATTGTTCCTCCTTAAATTGAGCACAATCCAAACTTTGATCCATATTTTAAGGTAATACTATACACTTTATACTACTTTTCAAGGTATAATCATATTAATCTTTAGTCTTTTATCTTATAGAATGCTATTGGAGCTACTGATGGTGTTCACATCGATGCGGTTATACCAATTGATGAGCAAGTTCTGTAATCAGAGAATAATGCAGAGACTGGGAATTCAAAGAGGTCGAAGAAATGAGTAGTCAGTTAGGGATTTTGACTTGATGGTCAACTTTGGTAATCAAACCGGTTGAACCGATCTGTCTGATCTCCTTACTACTCAAGTTAAATGGACGGAGGGTTAAACGAATGGGCTTTGCTTACTCAAGCCCAAGGATCACTGATATTGATCCAGAACTTGACCAAGTCTCGGCCCAGACTCAGAGAAGAAGGAACAGAGTCATCGTCTTCTTCACCAAGTCTGAACACAGACCAGGCAGAGCACCGAAAAAACAGAGTGTCAGGGGAGAAGGAAGAAGGCAGCAGAATGTAAAGTACACAGAGGGTTTTTAACGAGGTTCGCCACAGGGCTACTCCTCGTCCCAGGATAGTACCACTATCCTGAGTGACACTTTGATTTTCTTTATAAGACTCAAGCAACGAACAATCAAAACAAAGGAAATACAGACTCTGGTGAGAAAATCAAAATGCCAACTGAACCAGAATTCTCGCAGGAATTCTTTACACCCTTTGATCAAACTGAACATTTACCTCAGTTTGATTCAAAGCCACTGATCCCTTAATCCCAATTCCTTGCCCTGTACCACAAAGGAATTCCCCGACTCTCAGTATCCAGCCATTGCCTCTGTTTCATCTTTATATAGCCTTCCAAGGAGCCGTTGTTGTGTTTGAATTGTGATGCAGACAAGGTAAGTTTGATAGCTGGAGAGTGATCTTGATTGATTGATTTGCTCCCCCTTAATTTAGGAATTGGCAATCTTCTAACTTGATCTCAACAATCTCCCCCTAAGTTGGAGATTGCCGATTGTCCGCTTGAACCCTGCAAAAATGACCCACTATTCCACGCAAACACAATATCTGTCCAATTCTACTCATTCAATCGCAATTCAGCAAAGTTTAAACCAAACATCAACCATTCAAGGGTGCAACTTTAAACTGAAAACTGACTCATCAAAACTGAAAACTGACTCAGCAAAACTAGGTAGCTTAATCAGCTGGGAGAAGACACGTCCAGCAAACCAAATAAAGAGCATCATCATGAAGAGTAAAAGTTAATCTGATTCATGAGAATCAGATCCATACGTATCCCGAAGATCGGCTAGCACATTGCTTAACTTAGGAGTTCCTGAGTCATCATCACTGGCGCTGCTGCTACTGTCACTGCTACTACTGCTGCTAATCCAAAGCACTTCTATATCTTGAATTGGTTCTCCTTCTTCTGCAGGTTCCTCAGAGTCTGAGTCTAAATCATCCTCCCCCTCAACGGCAACGACAATCTCATCCAAGAAATCATCAGCAGTGAGGAACACGGTGGGTGTGGTGGAACGAAAAGGGTCAAGGGAAATTTCAAGGCGGGTGATGAGACGAGTAAGCAGAGGACCAAAAGGGAGATGACCATGGTATTCAAAATATTGGAACATGTACAGATGTCCAAACAGGAGATGAGAGTAATCCAAGGGTACATTGTGCACAGCATGCTGAATGACCCAGAGATCTAGAGGAGTGACACGATCTAGAAGGACAGTCCTAGGAAGGAATCTATGAGTGAGGAAAAAATGAAAGGTGCGGATAGCTGGGAGCAGGAAGGTGGTTGGAAGAGTGAGTAGATCATCAGGAGCATGACCTGTTAAGTGGACGAACTCATGCTCTATATTGAAATTGAATAATGCAAGTTCAGAATCATGAGCTAAAATTTCACCAACCTGAGGAATAGCTAGCAGACGCCTAAGATCCTCAATGGGGATAGTAACTAGATGGCCATAAATCAGGGTTGTAAAAGTACGAGTTTCTATGCCAAAGGAACGAAAATTTGAGTAAAAAAGGCGAACTGCCTCAGGACAAATATGCTCTAGGGTTTCATCAATGAGGAAATCCCAACCTAAATTGTGAATGAGTTGAGAGAAATCTAAGCCATACTCATCTAGACCAGCAAAAGGAATTTGATAGGTGGGAATGATAGGGCGACGAGCATAAGAGGTGGCATGCCTATGAGCATTGGCTGGGATAGGGTCATGGAAAAGAGTACCTGTGTAGGTGATGGAGAACTGGAACACCATTGAGAAGAAAACTAGAACAGCTGACTATGATTCAAAAGCAATCGATGAATGACTAGAGACAAACTAACTGACCTTTAAATAGCAAACCACAGCGTGAAGAGAAGGAAAGCAATAAAACAGGAAGAAACACAAAAGGAAAACACACATAAAAAAGTAAGGAAGATGAGAAGACAATTATGACAGATTCTCCAGATTCTCTGGAGATCGAAGCCCTAATTCATAGCAAAGGAAAGTGAATCGATCAGCATTTAATGGTTTAGTGAATAGATCAGCCAGTTGGAATTCAGTTGGTATGTGATTTAATTGTATTAATTTTTGTTCGACCAATTCCCTAATGAAGTGAAACTTTACTTCTATGTGCTTAGTTCTGGAATGCTGAATAGGGTTTTTGGACATACATATTGCACTGGTGTTATCACAGAATAAAGGAATGGTTGGGGTAGTGATTTTGTAGTCCAAAAGTTGGTTTTTAAGCCAGATAAGCTGAGTACAGCAGCTCCCTACTGCAATGTACTCAGCCTCAGCAGTGGAGAGAGCCACAGGTCCCTGTTTCTTGCAAGACCATGAAACTAAAGAAGTACCAACAAATTGGCAAGTCCCTGTGGTACTTTTTCTATCAGATAGACTGCCAGCAAAGTCAGAGTCACTGTATCCTAGAAGATTAAAGTTATCATGATGAGGATACCACAGACCTACCTGAGGGGTTCCTTTTAGATATCTAAAGATTCGTTTTACAGCATTGAGATTGCTTTCCTTAGGGTCTGACTGAAACCTAGCACAAAGACACACACTGTGTTGAATGTCTGGTCTACTAGCAGTTAAGTATAGTAAAGAACCTATCATCCCTCGATATTTCTTTTCATCAACTGATTTTCCAGAGGGATCTTTGTCTAGTTTTAGATTGGTGGCCATGGGAGTAGGGCTAGAGTTAATTGAGGTCATGTTGAATTTTAGAAGCATTTTCTGGAGGTATTTAGATTGGTTAATAAAGATACCAGATGAATTTTGTTTAACTTGAAGACCAAGAAAATTTTTTAACTCTCCCATCATGCTCATCTCAAAGACAGACTGCATG